GAGCCGAGGGGTGACACTGTACCTGTCACATGTCGGCTCTATGTATTGGGAACTGAGCGCTGACTGGAGGGATGGACGGGGAGGGGGCGGGCACAGCTGGCTCTGCCTCTAGAGTGGTGGAGCCATCTTTCAATCAGGCAGAGGGGTGGATCCCGACAATATTGTCAGGATCCATCCTGGCTGCAGCGCTGCTCTGCGCTGCCAACATTAAGTGCTCAATAACCCGGTGTATGCTGAGTTTTGGGTCACAGGAGGAAATTAGTATATGTCCTCCTGTGACCCTAAAGAGAGCTATGGCAAAAACAGGTTGGGCCATAGCTCTTTTTTAACAGTGATTTGTCGCTAAGAATTCATTTGTCACTGTTACAAGCTAAACTAGTGCTACAGCATTGGGTTGGTGAGCTTTGCTTCAAATCTCTTTCAGCAGCTATGACATAGAGGTAAATGAAGATAGATTGTCGCGACATGAAAGCTATTCAAGCTCAATCACTGAGCATCTGAGTTACAAATTGCTAAAATTAGCAAATTAGTGTTTGCATAGAAAATAACTATAACCTCCTTAGTGAGATATTACTTAAAAAAAAAAAAAAGAGAGAACTGTCCAGCATGCCCCCCAACCTCCTTCTAAAGCTAGCCATACAGCAAGCCCTAGTGTGCTTTAACGTGCAGTAATGTCAATACATTACAAACTACCAAATCAGCGTAAAAGACCTGTACTGTACCTGTAACCTACAGACAATTTAACTACTGTTATGATTGTACACAGGCCTAAAATTTTAAAGTCCTTGCTCTGCGGGACTACTGGGGAAAGAAATTGCCCACCTACACCATAAATACCATGACAAGAACACTTTAAAACACAGAGTAGATTCACCCTGATTTATGTTTATAACAAAATTGCATGTAGGCAAAATTTCTGTTGTAGGAACAAAAGTAAAATCCTAGTATATGTTATTTGTTCAACTTCCCCTTTTATGGTTTACCTAGATGTTATGTCAGTCACAAGAACCTCAAGTGTCAAAACGTTAAAATATTTCAGATATCTCTGGAAATTACCTTTTCATATCCTTCTACTCAAAATGTCAATAAAGCAATTATGTTATCACTGTGTGGCATCTGTGTGTACATAAAGATAAGGCTTTTACATTTAGGCTTCTACTTTTAAAACCTAAAACTAACCAAAACCATTTTAAAAATTTGGACACAGTAGGATTCACCGTCTGCTGGGTTTGTATAGCTGTGTGTGTCCCCATTAGGGAGATTAACAGATTTACAGACTTCCTGTACTGTGTTGACAGGTGTCAGACAGAGATCAGGATGTTGGGATGGGGAATTCCTCAATCTTAGTAGAGCCCGATCAGTTTGCTATTTTGTGTGCACTGCACATTAAGGTTTTTGGGTGTCAGAATAGGGACAAAAACAACAAGAAAAAGTGACAGTTTCAGACCCCTTCTTGTCCTGTTTTCTCTTGAGGAGAGGTGATTAAAGTGTATGTCCACTTTTGCAGCCAAATCGGGATCACACCTATTTTATGTTTGTTACATGTTCCCATTCAAATTGTATAACTTAGAAAAAAAAATTAAATTGCTGCTTACATTTCTAAGCGCTTTATACTTGCTTAAAAATCTTACCTAACCTCCCCCTATGTAATGTTAAGAAGGGATCTATGGGAAGTTGTTTACTCTAATTAACTCTGTCTGTACTGTGCTAGCACATCTCATTATCAGTTATATTTATTTTTTTATTTATTACAGGTATTTTTAAACTGGATTTGAACATTGTCTGTGCTAACAAAGAGTTAAATACTTACAAGGTTTTTCACTAAAGAGTTTGGAGAAGGCAGGAAAAGTGAACAATCTAGGACAATATAGCTGAACTGGAAAGTAAGCTGAATTGGAGAATTTTTCCAAATCAGCTATTTTGTCCTAGAATGTTCACTTCTCATGCTTTCTCTGAACCCTTCACCCACTTCCGGGCCGTAATACGTCAATAGACGGCGGTCTACAGAAGTGGTTAAATCAAGAACACGGCTGCTGCTGTATCATTTTTAACAGCTGGTGATGGCTGTTAATGTACAAGCGATCCGGATCGTTTATACCGTGCCCTCCTACCCCTGCCGCCGTCGGCTTCCCCAGGCAGCGCTGTCCCCGTGCGGCGCAGTGGGTCTCCCTGCAACGATCGGAGAGAAAAACTGTGGCAGTCCCCTCCCCCCACACAATTGCGCTACACATGTTACATATCGCTGCGAACGTCCGAGTGAGAGCAATAATTCTAGCACTATCAATCACTGTTAACACTAAATTGATGAGCTGTAAAAGCGTCTAAATTGTTCCGTATGGGAAATTTTGGTATTGACGTTTTTTGCGGCTTCACGGGCATTGGTATCTATTTACCCAACATGACCCCAACTTTTATATTTTACAAAAAAATTGGGTATTATATTATGTTTCTGTGCAATACATTTTTATTTAGTTTATTGTTTCCTAAAAATACTGGTTTGATAAACATTTGCACAAAAACCGCGTGACATAAAAAATTGCAATTGTACAGGGCCTCTGCGTTCAGAACATATATCATTGTTTGGGGGTTTGAAGCTGTTTTCTAGCCAAAAATTTATAAATTTTATCATGTGTGCGCAAATAGTAAGAAAATGCTCCGGACAGCAAGTGGTTAATGAGAGAAAGCTCAGTCTGTCCCTCAGTTTGCCTCTACTTTCAGTTTTGAACTGCTCAAAGTAGCCTGGAATCTGCAAAAAGGTCTTCAACAAAGAACCAGCTAAAATGTAAGAAATATATGTTTAAATATTGTTTTTGGGTTTGCTGTTAATGGGAACACATAACAATACAATGGGGTTTTCTCACATTTGCCTGCAAAAGTGAAAATACAAAATTTTCACCATGTATAAATACATTAGTGGCCCATATATTTAACTTTTGCAGTCAAATATGAGAAAACATTCATACCTTATATGTCTGTCCTCCAATTCACACAGCATACCTAAAAAATATGTTTAAAGATATATTTCTTACCTTTTAGCTTTTTGATAAATTCCCCCCATTGTATATTAATAAGAGGAAGTTTAGTCTGTCCTCAGTTTGTTCTTCTACATTCACTTTCACCCCTAATGCCTCCAAGTCTTTAACTCTTTGTTAGCACAGGCAGTGTTCAAATCTAGTGTACAACAGTAAAGACAGGGTTAAAGAAGAAGTATTGGGAGAGGAAAATGTACTCTTCCCAATACTGTGAACCAGCAGAGATAACGACACCCAGCAGAAGTCTCAGGGGTTTTGAATGTCTTCACAAGGGAGGCTTTTACAAGCAACATGCAAAAATGTGTTAAAATGTGTTAAATGCACATATAATCCATGGGAAGATTGTTGTCAGGGGACAGGGTTTCTTTAACTACTTGGGTATCAGCCAGTATACACCTATTCATTACCAGGCGATGTTTTTAGGTTTTAGTGCTGTGATAGTTTATTATTCCATCGTGTAACACTGTACTCAAATAAGATTTAATTTTTTTGGGGGAAAGTAGACACCCCAAGGTGATATAATTTTTTTTTTGCCACACTTTTTTGGAAATTAAGAAACATGGTGGTAGGGAGGGGGGCAAAACACAGTGCTTGGTAAGAGTGAACTAAATCCAGCACCTTAGGTCATACACAGAGAGATCAGGAGGTAAAGGGGTTAATGTACAGATAACATACAGTGACAGGATGGAGACAAAGGGCTTAATGTACAGAGGTGCAGGATAAGGGAAGTAAAGGGGTTAATATATAGGGGACACAATACAGAGGCAAGCTGAAGATCAGCAGTTTAGGAGATGAGGGGGCAGTGAAAGAGTTACAAAAGATCTGAGTATGTGTAGGAGTCACCAGCTGCTGCTGATGAGTCATTCATTGATTCTCCCATTCACAGTTCACTGAGATTCCTCTCCTTCCTCTGTAGTAAGAGGCAGGGAAGAGATTGTCAGTGTAAATAATAACATGTGATCCATGTGTTTAGTCATCACATCAATCACAAATTGCCGAGCCGCATGCCTTGGCTCTGTACAGTGTATCTGTGTACTATGCCGGCAGAGGACAGCATGGTACACAGAGATGTACCTCAATGTGACTTGGTATGTGCCTCTTGCAGTCTTTGTGCAGCAGGGCTGGAGAGTGAGGATGAAGCAGCACAAGTTGCCACTCAATTAATGTGATGTAATGTGACAGGAAGAGAAAGCAGAGTGACAGAGAGATTAGCTCATCGCTGTGTTGCTTCTCATTTCACTGTCCAGTCACAGGCTGGGACAGGTCCAACACAAATCCCAATACAAATTAGTATGAGATTTAGACTATCATGGGAGGAAGCTTGGAGCAGTGGCTATTTTACAATACATACAGGGACCATGGGGAACAAAAGTAGTCCCCCTCCAGAAGTAAGGACAGTGTCAGTACCAATTCATGATTTGAGGATCTACAGCCGAGTGATACACAAATAAGCTACATTTTTGTTAATAGTCGGGGTACTTGAAGGTACTTTTAAGATTTCACTCTTGAGTTTAGTGCCACTTTAATTTTATCTCGGTATTTATGGTTGCGGTTCCACTTTAGGCATTCCATTTATTTAAACACAATTGCATAAGACATGTTGCTACCTTTAAATTAAACTTGGCCCAATGTTTCGAGTGAAACAAATTGTCCAAAGATTAGATTTTCATAGACCCAAACCATTTTGTTCCCTTTGGTAATAAATAGCTGGTGCCATGGGGGGTGTGCTCAGTGCACAGGTATGTGGCATTCTCAGATGATATGAAGCACAGGTCTCAAAATAGTGTTCCATGGGTGACTTTTCCCCACACACATGCAAGATTAGTCTAAATGTCCTAATTTTTTTGGAGTATGATGTTGTTAGGTTTGTCTTTTATAGCAATAATAATCTTTGTTTTTACAATTTTAGGCTCTTGGCTTCTGATTTCTACCATTTAAGGAGCACTTTTGGGATCATGTAGTAGACATTTACAGTTGCGTATTCCATAGTGTCCTCTGCTGTATGCAGAGACCTGCTGTCAGACATGTCTTTGTCCCGAATAAGTCAAGACGATTTGAAGAGCTACTCTGTAGTGGACACAAGCACAGAGAAAGTCTATCAATCCACCTATGGACCCACACATTCCCGTGTCTTAATAAAACTTTTGTCTTTGTCTGGTCTTAATGATGGGTAAGCTGAACTCTAGTAGAAAGATGCATTGGAGGTATTATTTGAAATGAATAATGTCAGTGGATCTAATGCCTATTGCATCATAACATACTGAAAATAGTGTAGGCTGCATTATTTGTATTGTACTGTGCTATGGTTCACAATAGGGCATTACTGTGCATTGTGGTGTGTTGCTACACGTGTGCATTGTGAAGCCATTTAAAATGAACGGTTCTGCAGTCCCCTCCCCCCACACACGACATCTACAACACTTTTACAGTGCATTTTGTCATATCAAAAGTGTGGACATTCTCTAGAAGCTACATTTCAGTAGTATTTACCATAATGTCCTTAAAGCTAAACTTTGACCTAGATAAAAATACCCTATCTGTGGGGTCCCCTCTGCACTGCAAGTTTTAAATGCTCGTTTTTCTCTAGGGGATGATTAATAAGCTGAATTACTTACCTTATGTTTTGCTCTTCCAGCAGTCGGTGCTCTCTTCCGCTATCTAATGCTCCTGGCATGTGGACGGCCACTCGGTGTCCTCACGTACAATGTAGGACTACTGGAAAAGCAGCACTTGTGCTCCAGGCCTTTGACTTTGCGTAGACTAAAGCTGTCCAGACACTGGTGGATTTTCCTATGAATGTCCATGTAAAAAAAATCTCATCAGAACATTTGATAATGCCATCAGAGAGTTATGCTATTAAAGTGCACTGCACCAATCTCTACCTACTAAAACTATGCTAGTCTACAAGTACAATAACAAATAATGTGCTGCAAATACTGAAGTGTGTAAATATATATATAAAAAATACCACTAATAATGCACTGGTACCACTAATTAAATACACAAAATTGCCCCAAAACATTACAGAAAGTTGTTTAAAATGTTGTTTGATTTTTACATTTAATTTTGGAAATGAAAGCCACATTCACTGTTTGAATGTTGTTCATTCATTCATTTGAGAAAACTTTCAACCCTTTCAACATGTCCACATACTCTATACATCTGCTGTAGTATGTCTGTAGTCTCTGACAGTCTTTTGTAGCATTACATATACTAAGTATTATGTGCTGCCCCTTGGTGGTGTAATGGGCCACAGTTGAGGCCCCCTATACTTTGTTGACCACCACTGGTCTAGATGCTGACCCTCGATACTGCTTGGACAGAAATGAGAATTGATTGTAAAGATATTCTTTTTTGGTCTATGCATTTCTGTACCCTTGTATGATCTACTGTATGTACCGGAGTTCCTGTTTAAACAGAGTTTCCCCCCCACCCTGGGTGAGTGAAGCTCAGCTGGAGCTGACCTGTGTGAACGAGACCTCACTTATGACTCATATAGAAGAGTTTCCATTAACATGCACAATACATGTATAACATATGAATGTGGTTTTAACAATAGGCATTATGCCGTGTCCAGTTTTGTTCTTTTTAGATTCACTTTGAACACAATTTATGGTAATTAAAAAAAAAAAACATTTTTGTACCATGTAATAGAGATCTTAGGTGCATCAGTTCTGTGTGCATACACTACTATATAAGATATCACTAAAATATGCATCTCTCATTTGCAGGGGTCGACAAGAGTTCTTCAACCATATCGAGTACATCAACAAGATAAAATCAGAACATGTGACGCAAATAGTGGGAATATATCGGACACCAAATACATTGGGTATTGTAACAGAATGGATGCCAAATGGATCCCTTCACTCTCTTATTTACCAGGTGTGTTAAAGTCAATTGGTGTACTTAAAAGTATGTTTTAAAGCAGTAGTAAACCACCAACATAAATACGCGATAATGGGTCCCTAGAAGGAGTTTCTCATAATGTCCAAGTATGCACAGCATATTAGCACATTGGGTGACTTACCTTACAGATGATCTCCTCCAGCACTGCTATGTCAGCGTTCTCTTCCTCTGCCGGGGATGTCATCTTTACCCAGTCTTTTTACGGGTTTAGCATCTTCGGCCTCTTGATTGCCCGGGCCGGGACAATGCGCAGGAGTTACTAAAGGGTTAGTAAACATATCACTCATGTTTACCAATTCCTTCAGTAATGAATGAACACAGGATTACTAATGACTCCCGTGATCATTCAGGAAACTACAAGGATTGGGGAACACAAGACATGTTTACCGATCTCCTCTCTCGCTATCCTAAATAGGCCCAATCCGCTGTGTGCCCGTAATGTGATCCTATCCGCAACTCGCTGGCAGAGAAAGAGCAGTGGATGTTGGAGGGCACACAAGTGGGACACAGACAACGAGCTTTGAAGGGCACATGGAGGCGATCTGATTGCAGGCACATAGCGGGGAAGACCTAGTAACAGGCAGGTCTCATTGCAGGAAGGCAATGGCAGGGGGACAGTCATATTTTTTAAAGCAGGGCTGATATGAACATCTTGTTAGCCGCTGATCACAGCTATTCATGAATCAGCAGAGCCCTAGGGGGACCTCTGTGCTATAAGTTCATGGTTGCTATAGCGACCATGAGCTTATAGCCTAAGGGACTACAGGGGATGTAAAGGCTACTAGCCAGCCAGCTGCAAGCTGTTTTGTTCTGATGTGATCCTTACATCCTTGGCAGTAAATGTGTTAATTAACATAAATGAAAACTAACCGTTGTAAACACCCATGTCAGTGTAATCTTTTGTCTCAACTGTTATTTTGGCTGGACAGCTTCTTGATGAACCAGACAAAATTTGCAAGTGGGTTCCGCTGTTGGCACCCTTCTGGCCGGCATCCCTCGATCAGCAGATCGAAAGAGCCAGATGGGCTGCAAGCTTTGTTTGGCAGAAGAATCTCCTTCAGCTGTAACTTTCATTTAGGCGTTTTGACAGTAGCCAGCGGCCTCTGTCAGAATACAGTGAGAACAGCAAGGGATTCCTCTTTCCAAGCTTGTAAGGAATCTGTTATATTTTCTTAGTTCAGCCTGCAGATTGAATGAAGAAAATATAACAGTGTATGGCCAGCTTAAGTCAGCATGTTAAGGTGGAGAAGAATATTAATAAAGGCCTGTAAGTTTAAACCTGCCACATAACTAGGACAGATTCCTAAATGTATAGCTAGTAAATAGATTAAAACGCCGCTTTAAACCTGTCACATAACTAAGACAAATTGCTCAGTATATAGCTAGTAAACAGATAAAGAACCTCTCAAATATATAATAAAAACATAAATACCGAATGAGAAAACTATATTTCCCATCCCTGTGGCAGGTAAGGAGAATAATCCTTTTTAAAAAGTTGATCACATCAGTAGGTATAGCCAATACAACCCTTTACCTAGCTGAATAAGAGCTTATAATATGCAAATGAATATCGCGTTTAAGACCTGTGTATGGTCTTTTGTGCACTCTTAGGGCTCATGCACATGGGTGTACAAAATGTTACATTTAGATCCGTACAGTGTATAGTTTTTGAATAGGTCTGAATGCAGCATTGTATATTTTGGGCCCATACACACAGCTGTGTTATGCTCAGTAATCTTGCACTGCATTCAGCTGTGTAAAATCAAAGTAGAAAATTATCTGTCCTTGCACAGCATTTTAGGCCTCATGCACACACAACGCAAGAGCAAAATTGGATATTGTGTATAAACACGTATATGCATGCACTATATGCAATCCCAGAATGCGTCATTCATAATATAAATTTTAATGAACTGTGTGCACGTATGTACGCAGAAATGCGCTGCCCGGACGCATCTTGGGTCCATTCTGTTTTTGCGCATCTTTACGCAGCGCTAATATACGGCTCCATATGCAGCTATGTGTATGGAGCCATTTATTTGCATATGCTGCATATTGGACAATACGCGCATATACGCAGCGTATTGTATGGCAGTGTGAATGAGGCCTTAGCGCGTACATGCTGGGATTGCAAACTGAGCTAAAGGAATGGAAAAAGAATTATATGGAGGTGAATGTTTTATGGACAATTACGTATCCAAACAGTTGTACACAGAAGCACTTTATGGACCATTGCATGCGTTCTTTTACACAGGATCATTCTGCCATCAAGATACTGTGCAGATATGAGTATTTTATTACACTTGTGTGTCTGAACCTTTAGAACTGCTTGCCTCTCCATACAAGTCAATGGGAATGCAGAAGCAGGTTGATGCAGCTTAGAAGCAGTTCAAATGCAGGTCAGAAGAAGGTGAACTGCAGGTCAAACGTACCGGTCAACACACCTGGATTAATCTCAGAAGCATGACAAACTGATCTCAATTGCAAGCTAAATGCATCTTTTTGGGTTCTCTGTATGTAAATGTGACACAGTACTGCTTCACATCTTCTAAGGGCTTGTCAACACCATGTCCAGATCATGTCCAGACCAGAACAGTTTGTTCCCGGACCAAAAAAGCATCCTGATGTATCCCTATGGTATTTCTGGGCTCTGTTCACACCAGCGCAGTCCGTTCCGGTCCAGACCAAAAAAATACTGCTTATCTCATGTTCTCTGGTCTGGAATGCACTGGAACTGCACCGGAAAGCCCATTTTAAGCTTAAGAAGAAAAAAGTGCCAAAAAACACTGCAAAAGTCTGGTCCGGACATGGTGTGAACATAGACTAAACGTTGGGTGTAAAGCCTGGTATACACAGTTAAAACTCTATTATAAAAAAATAGTTTTCAGGCTGTTAATTTAATTTTGTAATAGTTGTTTCTTCTGATGAAGCTGATGAAACTTGAGGATTGGGATGGATATTGTTCTCAAATGAACGAAATCCTGTGAATGTGGTTTGTGTTTGGGAAATGCTAATAATTTCCCAAATTAAATGTTAAAATCAAATGAAATTTCGAATCACATTCATCAAGTGTCTAATCGAATGTTCTGACAAATGAAAGTTTGTATACCTAGCTTAATTCTCAGTATTTGTTCTTATTATGTACAATAAGTACAATAAGTAGTACTGCTCGGTACTACTTCACTTGCATCCTTTTTTACTGTACATCCCCTTTTTATGGTGTGTGTTGAGCAACATCCCTTAAAAATTGGCCATGCCAAGATTTGTCACAATGTGTGCCATGTCCATATCACCCTATTAACTATTATTCCAAGCTGACATGTTTTGGGTTCTCCTGGGGAGGGAAAGGGAGCTCCATCTGTGGTCTTGACTTTGAAGAAAACCTCCATCCAAAACTAAGGAACCAAGTGAAAAAAAATCATCTAGTTTCTGAGAATAAACATGGAAGAAATTCACTAAGCTCAGTACCCACATACTGCAAATGTTATAAACGTTATAGCCAAATATACAAGAACAAAATGCACTGACTGTGACACAGGTCTCAAATTCTACACCAGTCAAAATAAGAACTACTAATAACTGCATATGAATGTAAACACTATATAAACACAATACTTCCTTAAGAAACATGGGGAAATCCCTAAACTATTTTAAGAACTGGGAAACCTTCAGCTGTCAATATCAAGTGTATATTTAGACAAGTATGACTTACTGTAGCTAGAATGCAAGTTATTGAGGTATATTCATATCTGAAATGTGGTCACTATACATCATGTTCTACACAGTGGTAAGGTTTCATACCTGGGTACGGCATGATGTATACATAATTAATGCCTAAATAAAAAATATATATATTTATAACTGCATTGCTGCTGTTGCCAGGGAGTGAACTTGTCATGTAGATTCAACACCAGCCTTTCTCAACCTTTTTATAACATAGAGGAACCCTTAAAATAATTTGTAGTGCTTCAGGGAACCCCTGTTAAATCATTACATCTACAACTCATAGTAAATTAGTGTGATCAGTAAGTTGTGAAGAAAAAAAAATTACTTCCCTAGCGTATTTGACACCCAGAGCAGATCATTCAGTAAAACCCTCTGCTCTATAAAACAAAATTATTTTCAGTAATAATAATGAAATTATAACAAATATTAATAATGGGCAAAGAAGAAACAGAATGAAAATTTTAGAGCTCCCTTACATTGGTGGTCAGTTGAAAAGTTACCTCTTAAATTGGTGGTCCCTTACATTGGGAGAAGGACCCCTTTACAGTATTGTTGATTAAAGAGAAGCCCCCCACCCCCCACCTTACAGACAGCTAAAAAGATCATTTAAGATTGGTACAGGTACTCCTAGAATGAGATCCTAATAGGTTGGACTTGATGGACTAATGTCTTTATTCAACCTCAAATACTATGTAACTATGTAACTATGTAATGTCAGTGGTTACTGACAGACAAAAATTGATCATTGCTCAGGGAACCTCTAGCAACCCTTGGAGCAACCAACTTGAGAAAGGCTGTTTGACAGCATCAATTTAATATGTGCATATCCTTAGCGTAAA